CATTAGGGCCGTGGGTTGTGGCGTCCTGCCGCCACTGTGCATGCGCACACGAGGCTTAACAGCTGCCCTCTTTATGATGGAGATTAGCTACACAAGGCTGGATGCGGCGTCTAAAAGGAACAACATTTTGAGACTTGACTACTGCATGTCAGCAAACGCCAGCTCTGCCTTGAATTAACAATACCCATCCTGTCCGAGAATCATGTCTTATTTCGCTTCAGTTTGGTCTCGGAGAGCTACTACACATTCCATTTATTCAAATGAATGTTAAATTCTGACTATTGGTTTGCAGGAAACAAAAAATTTCATGCAGTTGGACTGCAGCGAATAAACATCGACTGCGACATTACAGATGCCGGGAAGAACTGATTGTCCTCTGTAAGTATAAAATGAATGTGCAATGCCTGTGCGTTTGTTTATTGACTACTGACTGCTGACTAGTCCTGAGATTTGACTCCCAGTGGCACGAATGTTGTTGCAAGGCAGTGTTGCAATGGGTGCTATATAATTTGGCAGCGAATTGCCAAAACCCAGCACTTGCAAATAGAAAATTGTCTGAATTTGAAGAAAGGGGTGCCTGAATCAACAATTTTGCGTTTGTAGTGGTTATGGACCCATTTTGGTGCATCGGAATTGCCAGACATTAGTGGTGGCTCGATGACACAAATGCAGAGAGCCTGCTGCAGAATCAGACGATGGTTCTTTCATGTCAGAGGTTTTGGCAATTCTTACTTTTCATTTGATTCATCAAACAACCGCAAGTTTTGATAAAGGCGACTCCTCCTCCTCCAGTTTGAACACCTACTGCTTCACACTCTGCAGACCTCATTTACTACCTGGCTTCCTCGAACAGGACACACCTCCATTTCAAATTCAGCACTGCAATAGGTGAGACTGATTAATCAAGCACAAGTATGTCAGATACTCTCCATTCAAGGTGTTGCTGGAAGCCCTCTATGATGCGCATCCTTCTCATCTTCCCTACCAATCACTTCGGCTTTTCTTTTGTTGAGTCTGACTGGATATACCACTTTACCACTTTGTTTTGCTAGTTTGCAATTTTGCCTGATTCAATTGATGCTAAAAGTACCACGACATTGTGAAACGAGTTAGATGGAGGTTATCGGTTTGGCACAGCTGACTTCCCGTAGCAAAATAGACAAATGTGTGAAGGTATTTATGCAGGGAAATAACACTTCTCCATCCCGATAAGGATTGCTAATGTGCA